AAAATAAAAACATTATCCTATAACACTACCCATAAAAAAAATTGAGAACGAGGCGATTACATCGTCTAAATTGCAAAACACTAATTCTAAGCTAACCATATAATATATATAATAATAATACTCCACAATGATAATCGACAGCAGCACACGAGCTAACTAGAACCACAACAACAACAACAACATAAGTTGAGGCATTTTCCAGACCAAATTAGGTTTTTCCTCTCTCCCATTTGCTCGCTGTTTGCGGCTAGGGTTTTTCCTTAACTCAGTTCCAGTTTCTTTCTTACAGATCTCTATTTGCATAAATCAATGGATGTGTTATTGATGAGCTAGGGTTTCTGGTTGCCGTTTGCTGGAGGAAAATCTTGAGAGGGGTTGGGTTTTTGGGTGTGATTGGTGGTGGTGACAGAAATGGCGGCCAGGAACCCTTTCGATTTGCTCGGAGATGATGATGCCGAGGATCCATCGCAGCTGATTGCAGCGCAGAAAGCTGCTGTGTCGAAGAAGGAGCTGGCTCCGGTTCAGACTAAGGCAGCTGTTGCGGTAGCTCAAGCTAAGCCTGCTAAGCTTCCTTCTAAGCCTCTGCCTCCATCTGAGGCTGGTTCGTTTTCTCTGATTTTCTTTTTCTTGTTTTCAATTCTAATATGTTCTCGAGCTTTTCAGGCTCTGTGTCCACTGTATGTGTTATGTTCGCATATTCTTTTTCTGCTTTTGATTATTGAGTTCTGAGGATTTGGGTGGGTTGATGTGATATTTCGTTTTCATATACATGCATGCATGAAGAGATGCAGTATATGTACACTCTGTTGTTTCACAGCAGATTTGGTTTAGTGTTGATGTGTGTGCATTTTTCTCTCTTAAGTAACACTGGGATATTGCTTACTATGTGGCAACGTGTCATTCCACTAGATAGGCTATTTTTGGAGCTAAAAGAAAAAAAAAAAATGAAGTTGAACAGAGTAAAGGGTATGTTTTTTACAGTTTGTCATTTCCTTTTTAAAATGAAAAGGAACTCATTACTTTCAGATGAGGGTGTTATATCAATTCGTTCCTTAGAATGCAATGATTAGTGTTGTGATTCAGATTGCTGACTGACTACAGACATATTGTTGCCATTATCAGTATTTATATGATCTAGGCATCTTTTAGTATGTCTCATTTGGTAATTTAAATCAACCAGGAAGGTTTTTCTTCTTAAGAGTCAATGGGATTTTTATAAAGGAAGAGGTTCTGATTTGAATTTATTATGTTTTTGTTTATTTTTAATGTTTGAATTTTATTCTTTTTGGCTTTCTTGTACTTTCTTTCTGACATCTGATTTTTTGGTTAAAATAAGTGAGGGAGGCAAAGAGTGACGCTGCACGTGGAGGACGTGGAGGTGGTGGTGGACGTGGATTTGGACGGGGGCATGGTGGTGGTGGAAGGAGTAGACGTGACTCTTTCAATGATGAAAACTCATATGGCAACGTTGCAGTACCTGGTGGTCAAGGTGGACCTGAAGATGGAGAGGCAGAGAAGCCCTCTGAAAGGCGTGGCCATAGTGGGCCTCGTCCTTATCGTGGTGGTCGCCGTGGTGGTTTCAGTAATGGAGAAGCTGGAGAGGAGGAACGCCCCCGCAGGCAGTTTGAACGCCATAGTGGGACTGGGCGTGGGTAATAAATACTTATTCACTCTCTAGCTTCATATAATTCAGTGTCTGTATTTCACATTTATCTCTATTCTAATGCTTTCAATCTAACTGTGTGTAGAAATGAGATGAAACGTGAAGGAGCAGGCCGTGGAAACTGGGGAACTCAGGCAGATGAACTTAAGGAGTGAGTTGTTTGTAGACAACACCATTTTGTTCTTTAGTAAATATAAGATCAACTCTAATAACCTATCATGCTGTACAGTTTGTCTTGTTGAGACCTGTAAATGAAACTTTTTTCTTGTCTCTTTTAGGGTGACTGAAGAAGTTGTTGATGATGGTAAGAATTTAGGTGATGAAAAGCCAGCAGGAGAAGAAGATGCTGGGGGTGCTAACAAGGAGAGCCCAGCAAATGAATCTGAGGAAAAAGAACCTGAGGAGAAGGTAGTTTAATTTTCATTTCCAATGGCTTCATATGATCAACAATGCACCCATCTCATTAAAGTTGGATATGTTTTATTATGTTGTCACTGGACAACTGTGTGGCTCTAGAATTGGCATTATTGCATAAACATTATCCTTATTGTATAACAAATGATTAGTTTCAAATGGAGAAGTTTCAAATCTCAAGGAAAAATATAAAAGAGTTTCTGCTTTTCTCAGAAACACTTCTAACATGCAAAATGGTATCTCTCTCATTTTTCACATTCCACTTATGCAATAAATAGTTCCTTGCAGTGAATCATTTCACAATAAAGCTTTTCTTATGCCAATTTAACATGTATATTTTTGTTTTTGTTACTACCTAAGTAATTACAATGCCTATTACTTTGTGCTAAGTGTTGATCATTAATAATCTCAATAGGAGATGACTCTTGAGGAGTATGAGAAGGTGCTTGAGGAGAAGAGGAAGGCCCTGCAAGCACTTAAGACTGAGGAAAGAAAGGTGGATGCCAAGGAGTTCGAGTCCATGCAGCAGCTTTCAAAGAAAAAGAGCAATGATGATGTCTTTATCAAATTGGTGAGACTTGTGGCTCATTTGTTCTAATTGTTGGTTATTGGTTTTCACAGTTGTGGTATTAACCATTGCTTATGCTTGATTTTTATGCATCAGGGCTCTGATAAAGATAAGAAAAAAGAGGCAGCTGAGAAGGAAGAGAAGGCCAAAAAGGTATTTCCTCTGCTCTATCTCTCTCACTTAATTGTGTGTATCTTACTATTTGAATATGTTCTTGGTTCATGGCTGCTGATCATATGGCTCATTTTGCTTGTGGTTGTGGAAAGGTGTATTTTTAACTGATCTAGATTCTTGCATGAAATGGCGTTTGTAGTCTGTCAGCATTAATGAATTCCTTAAACCTGCTGAACGGGAGAGGCTCTACAATCCAGGTGGCCGTGGCCGTGGCCGTGGTCGAGGTTCAAGAGGGTTTGGTGGGGGCAGTGGCATGAGTGATCTCTCAGCCCCTAAAATTGAAGATCCCAGTGATTTCCCAACTTTAGGGGTCAAGTGAGATTCTCAAGACCCATTTACAAACTCTTAATTTTCCTTTTGCATGTTTTGGGTTATTTAATGTTGGGCAAGAAGTTGGCTAGAATAACATGGTCTCTTGTGGCCAAAAGGAGTTCAATTTTATGCTTTAAAATGTATATTTTGGTCCTCCTCACTTGTCTCCTTGTAGTTCTCTCTATCAGAATGCTAGGATATTTCCTTTCCAAGAATTTGAAGTCATGTGAAACAGTTTAACTTATGATAAGAAACTCTTATTGGTCAGTTTTGATTTGTCATGGATGGAACTTTTTAGCTAATTTATGCCAGCATGACGAATACCGGTGAGGCAGTTGTTCTATTTTGTTACTAAATTATGCCAACACGAATGCGGATGTGGCAGTTCTGGACCCTCAAATTTTCTGGTTGTAGTGGAAATTTGTAAGTACAGGACAAGGCAATCCTGATATGCAAGTAGGAACCGTGATTTCCCTTGTTATCGAAACACAATACCCTTTCACCAGGAATGAATGGCGTCCATTGTTGCATTGTTTAAAGGAATGAATGGGAGTTGTATCGAAGCTCAGGACAGGATAAGGACGTATTTTGGGGAGAGAGAACACATTTATAATCAGCATTATAATATTGTACAGCCTTTCACACTAACAAGTGTCTAGAAATGAATGAGATTCCTCTACGGAGGTTGGTCTGAGAAAAAGTTTTTCAGAGTCAATAGACACAAATCTTATGAGCCATTAGACACAGCAGGCTGCATAACAAACCAATACATCGATTCATTATTTCATTACAATTTTAAGAAGAGCAGCAGCCACTTTTCTGTGCAACAGGCTGTCCTCGGATCTGTACGGTTGGAGGCCTTGCGTTGTTCATGGCTGGTTGGCTTGCCATTCTGCATACAAGGAAATTTTCAACGCATTTGAAAAATAGATAAATCAATTAACAGTAGCGCATCAAGAAAAAAAATAGAGAGAACGGGATCAAGGACTGAAGGTAGATTCAAAATAGGATGACCCATATTCCGAATTCTTATTTTGTAAATTGCTGTCAGACCAATTCCCAGTAATTTATTTCATATTTTTATCATTAGTTGTTTAGCATTTTTTTTAAAAAATAATAATTTATTTTTATTATTTTTTCCCCTTCTGTAGATTAATTCCCAGCAGACCACCACATAACGGTTTGATTTACAGGGTTGGCCAGTTTTTAACTCATCGAGCTAAGAGAGAGGAGAATTGTGTGACACACGTAACTTTTGTATTTGATATCTCACAATAATTACTTGAAAAGAAACATGAGTACCTCTCCTTGATTGCAGCAGCCATGGCCATGAAAGCTTGTTCAACGTTGGTGGAATCTTTTGCGCTGGTTTCCAGGAAAGGTATGCCAACTTCATCAGCGAATGCCTAAAAGAGAAGAAGCAAAGGAATAGGTGGAAATGGATCATATGCACATCTATAATATATATACTCCAATTAGTTAGGTTTTTCCTTGAAAGGAAGGATGTTGAATACTTTACATGTGAAAGAATAGCATACCTTGGCTGTTTCATATGACACAACTTTGTTTGCGGTAAGATCACACTTGTTTCCAACCAGAAGTTTGTTGACGTTATCACTTGCATAGCGATCAATTTCATTCAGCCATTGCTTGACATTATTGAAGCTCTCCTGGTCTGTCACATCATAAACTATCTAAAACAGGAACCACCAAGAGAACAAGTTTGTCAAGAGTTGGAGGAATAGAGGCTTAGATGAATCAAAAGGAGAAAAACTTAAGATCACCCACTATTATCCCGTGAGCCCCACGGTAGTAGCTGCTGGTAATTGTCCTAAATCGTTCTTGTCCAGCTGTGTCCCACTGAAAACCAAAACACATGAGCAAACTATTGCAACGCTAAAATGACAAAAGGGTTTGTAAGCAACCCATAGCAAAGCAACAGTTGAAGAATGCATCAATCCATTCCACACCAAAGGATAATTGATTTAAATAAAGAAGAGAGTACCCTTGAAGGACTTAATTGTAAGAAATTTTCAAAGAAATGAATTAAATAAATGAAAGCTAATAGTGAGTGAAACCTACAATTTGAAGTTTAATGGTCTTCCCCTCTTGCTCCACAGTGCGTATTTTCTACCAGAAAAAAACAAAAAAAAGGAATAAGACGTTAAAATTATTCAGGTATACGTTCGTGTTAATGGAAAAGTCAGGTTGGCAAAAGGTACAGCTTACTTACAAAATCAACACCAATGGTGCTTATATAACTCTCTATATATGAATCATCCTGCATCAAAGTAATGAGAGGATCATCAAATTCCAGATTCCATCAGAAGGATCCTGTGACACATTTAGTTCAGTGTAATAGACTGATTTCTCACCATGCTAGCTTACTATACCATATACAATCGAAATGAGATGAAAAGATTAGGACCAAAAAATGTTATCTTTCAAACCATAAAACATGTTTACCATTGTGAAAATGCAAATATTTACTACCAGATTCAGGATATGGTCCACAATTTTTTTAATCAATAATCTATATAACAGCCTATACATTACAATATCGAGCATGCATAAAACCACTAAAACAAAAACCTAGGAAAAACTACATTCATTTCGAAATGCTTCAGAATTCTTGAAACTTACAGCAAATCTCAAAAGCAGGCATGACTTTCCAACGCCTGAATCTCCAATAAGCAGAAGTTTGAACAGATAGTCACTGCAAAAGAAAGCAACCAGGTAATTAACAATTTTGCAGTACTTATATTTCAAGATGTAAATATAGCATCCTCCATTCTTTTTTTAAAGAAATTTCTTGTTATGTAGATTAGTTTGACTTCTTAATTTCTAGAAATTTTCAGATCTTGAGTAAATCAAGTCTTCTACATCCTGCAATCACCACCACATAAATTTTGAAAACCACTGATGGTGGGAAAAGTAATCCTTTTGATTAGAATTGAACGCCTTTATCCACGCAAAATTCTCTACTTGGTAATATAAGGAGTAGGTGATGCAGAGGTGCAACAAACGCGTAGATCAAGCCGCTTCTAACATGCAAACATACCTTGACTTTGACTCATGTAACAAGGCAGAACCAACTTAAACAGGTTTCACTAAGCCCACCACCACAGTACAGAGACATTGTCCAAAGCTAACTTGTTAACTAATCTATTTTCTTACTATCCAAAGTTGAGCTTGTTCATCAAGCCATTCGCAATCACCTCAGTTCCATGTATCATTCCAATAAATTGACCATGAAAATAAATTTGTACACTAACATTTTTCTCTCTCTCGGACACATCATATTTCCGACATCATCAGACTACAAAAGAAAATTATAACTCAACAACTTTTTATCAAACATACACCTTCCATCTTTAAATAATGACTAATTCGAAAGGCAGAGATAACAATTCACAAAGTAAATCATAAAAACAAATAAAATTTGCAACAAAAGTTAGAAAACATCAAAAGTAAATTGAAAAATACAGACATAATTAGATTAATAAAAATAACAGAAAAGAAAAGAAAACAAAGTAATTGGCATTCTCGAGGAACAGCCACGGCTACAAAAACGAATATTTCCAACACAAACATCTTTAAAGCAACCAGCAGATCCGAGAATTCGCATATCTACAACATCATCAGTCATCATTCAAACATCACCAAAATCCAAATAAATTGACGAAAATCGAACCAGAAGATATCGACGAATCCTTAATTAATCAATCTAAAAATAATACAACGAAAACTTCATAAGCAGGACAGGAAGGCAAAGAAGAACTTACTACTCGGGATTCATGGTGACAAATAATGGATCTAAGGATATGTCGCCGGAATCGCGATGAAATTCGCGGCGATGTGAGTGAGAGATCTCGCTTTAAGTCAGCGGAGAAAAGGATGAACGAGAGAGATGATGAAGAAAAAGGCTGAAGATGAAAGTGAGACGCAAAGGGGAGATGGAGAGAAAGAGGAGATATAAAGACGCATTTAATTTTTCCACGATCATGACTATCACACGGAACGGATCTGCTGATACCCGGACCGAGTTTGCTTCGGCCCGAAGTTGTTACGGCCTTTCCAGGTCCACAGCTCATATTTACACTCATTCAATAT